CTGTGACCCAGCCCTGTTGGTATGCCCACTCCCCTTGGATTCCTGTGGCTACTATTGGGGAGGAGTCTTGAACACCAGGCAAAAGCTTTCTGGCCAGGGAAACAGTTTCCCCATCTGTGCAATAGGGGTGCTCTGAGGGCCCCACCTCCAGGCCTTGCCCATCTGCATAGATGTGGGTTTGGGGTAATCAGAGCTTCCTCTTCAGCCGTACCCCAAACCACTCCTGCCTATACCTGGTGAACAAGTTCTTTTTGGTTCTGAAACACTGAAATTCAGAGTCCTGCACAATTATGTCCTCAAATGCACACATGGGTACACACACACACTTACCCTCGCTCACCTTTGCATAGAAAAAAAAGTCCTTACAGCTCCTGAGTGAGCAGACCCCATCCAACCACCTCCCAAAATGGGGCCACTGGCTCTGAAAATTAACCCCAACACAAAGCAGGGTCCAGAATGTCCTAAGCCCTTGGCTTGGGAAGGAAGGAGAGGACAGGGCATCGGCCAGGAGACAGTGCACTGGGTCTGGAAACAAATGTGCCTCTTTTGAATACTGGCTCTACCATTTCCTAGCTATATGACCTTGAGCTGACCGCTGAATCTCCCTTGGCCTGTTTCCTGGTCTGTAACATGGAGAAGTTATTACCCGTGCCAGGGGATGCTTGTTAGGCATAAGTGAGGTAACGGATGCAGAACACTTAGTGCAGTGCCCAGCACACAGAAAACACCTGTGAGTGGAAGCAGCTGCTGATGTTAAGAACACCTACATGCCTTGAGCATATTCTTCATGCCAAAACCCCAAACTAAAGCTCATGTAGGCAGGATGTGAGCAACCTAAACCCAAGGGGGTCTAGCACCAGGAGTTCTAGTCCCAGTGGAGGTGGGGTTCTTGTCTAGGGATGCCTGGGTCTGAACAGAGGAACCCATCAGATTGGCATCCTGGGGTGGGAGGTGTCACCTGCCAGCCATAGTCCACCTGGGTCTCCAGCTTCTTGGATCCCCCCATAGGTCCCCAGGACTGGCCTAATCCTCCCATTCCGGGCTGTCACCCATCACACCCCACACCATCCCTTCCACGCACAGACAAATCTTATTTATCACAAAATTATTTTTTTATTGAGGGTTGGGTCAGGGACAGGAATAGGGATTGCATTGGGGACCCTACTCCAGATGGCAGAGGGCTCAGGTGTTGGCTCGCACCCTGCCTCCTGTAGGGCACCGCAGGGTGAGACCTGGCCCCAGGCTCTGGCTATGGTGCTGGACACCAGGCTGGAGTGGAGCTGGGGTTGCTTGGCCTGGTTCCGACCGCCGACCCGGCTGCAGTTCCCCAAAAACGGCCACCAGAGGGCAGCCGGCCCCCAGAGCAGAGGAATTCTCGGTTTCTCAGGTGATGGCTTCTTAAAAAAATAAAAAACCAGAGGCTGGTGTGTTCCCCCTGCAAACCCGAGGGGGGCGGGCCTGGGGAGAAGGCTCTGGTTTCTATGATCTCTTCGATAAAAAGTAAGCAAAAATAATAACAAAATACGTGGTTTCTCTCTCTCCCTTTTCCCCCTCTAGGAACTGAGGTCAGAAATGAGGGTGTTGGGGACTGGGAGTACCCTGGTATGGCCTGGATTTCAAGGTGTGGGTCTCTTTTTTTTCCCCTTAACACCCATAAATAAATTCATAAATAAATAATAAATAGATATTCTCTTTGTATGTGCACATATATACAGATAAATCTTTCTCTTATCTAGGCAACGGAGTAACTAACCTCTCTGACTCTTTAACTCAGAAACGCAAAAGTAAAGTGACATGGTCAAGGTCAAGGGAGGGGGAAGGTCAGGGACTTGGAATGGCACTGTGAAACACCCAGCAGCCTGCTGGAGCTCCAAGCCCATCTGGGCTGTGGGACATTTCTGAGTTGGAACCCTGACCACCGGAACATTCTAGAACCATGGAGCCAGCTGGGCCCTGCAGGGATCTGAACAGAATCCTGTTAAACACCCAAAGTCCTAGAACTCCAGAACCAGCTGGGTCTTGGGGTGTGGAGCTGGGGGTTGGAACAAAGCCCTGGAGGACCTAACATTCTGGAATTCTGTAGTGATCAGGGCTGGAGGGTCACCAGGATGAAACTAGACATCACTGGGGGAGCGGGATCGGAAGAGCGTCTTGGAAGAGGAACAGCAGCAGCAGACAGCCCACAGCACCTTCTGCACGTCCTGGTTGCGGAAGGCATAGATGATGGGGTTGATCATGGAGTTGTAGGTGGCAGGGAGCAGGGTGAGATAGGTATAGAGGGTTGGGGAGTGGGCATCGCCCAATAGGCAGTAGACGGTGAATGGCAGCCAGCAGGCGGCAAAGGCGCCAAGCACCACAGCCAGGGTGGCGATGCCCTTTCGGGTGGCCACGTAGTGGGAGGCAGGCAGCAGGTGTCGCTGGAGGGCAATCTGCTGGGCATGGCGGCAGACGATGCGACAGATCTGGGCATACAGCTGCAGCATGATGCCAAACACCATGAAGAAGGCAACGGCCAGGACCACCAGATGGTTCTTGGAGAGCGGATAGACCACGCCGCATGTGGCCCGGGCATCCAGGCAGTTCCAGGCCAGCACAGGCAGCAGCCCCAGGCCCAGCGCGCCCCCCCACACTAGGGCCAGCATCACATAGGTCCGCGTCACTGTTGTCTCTGAGTAATAGGTGAGCGCATTGTACAGAGAAAGGTAGCGATCAACGGTGATGGCCAGCAGGCTGCCGATGCTGGCAGTAAAGGCCATGGCCAGCATGCCAACCAGCACCAGGCTCATCACTGATGAGCCAATGCAGAAGACAGCAGCAAAGTGCATGACCAGGCCCAGGCCCGCCAGCAGGTCTGCCACAGCCAGGCTGCCCACTAGCAGGAACATGGGGGCACGGAAGGTGGGAGTGCCCACGATGATGGCCACCACCAGCGCGTTCTCACAGGATACCAGTGTGCCCGAGATGCACAGTACTACGTCCCAGGCCGTGGGGGAGGGCAGCTGTGCAGCAGGGCCTGTGGGCCCCTCTGTGGACCCCATGCTGCTCACGTTCATGTTTCTGGGGCCAGCAGAGAGCCAGGCCAGGGGGCTGCCTGCACCCCACATCATGGTACCTGTAGGAGAAAGGCCCTGTGAGAAGCTGGCAGGGCTGGGTGCTAGGTGCTAGGTGGAGGGGTCTGGAAGCAGTGGGGGTCTCTCCTCAGGATATCTGGCTGGGTCCCAAGTTGCCCACCCCCTCCTATGCCCTGAAGCTCCTTCCAGGATACCCTTGTCTTCGACTACGCCCCTAGGCCAGCAGGGGTCTGCGGATCCCTGTGGTGGGTCACTCCACTCTCCCTTCTAACTCACTGAGTCCTGCAGCTCTCTTTCTCCCACGTGTGTGACCGAGGAGGACAAGATGAAGGACTACCATAAGTGGATGGAGGCCCATAGGATCCAGGAGAAGCCGGGAAAGGCCCAGGACGGGGGGAGGGGACATCTCAAGACTGACAGCAGCTCTGCTCCCTCCTCACCAGGGAGGATGACGCTCAGTTTCTGAGGCTCACCAGACCCCTCACGATTCTCAGTAAGGCCAGCCCCAGGCTCCGCCCCCAGAGAATGCTCGTGAAGCTCCCGCCAGCCCCCACCCTGCACTCCTGGGGTAACAACATCTGGGAACTCAGTCCCCCAACACATACTCGCTCAGACTTCTGCCCCCAGCTGGACCCCTCTTTCTGCCTGAACCTCTGGGTCTTTGGGACAGACACCCACTGTTGGAAGCCAGGATCCCGGAGTCAGATCCCTCCTTCTGCCTGGACACCTGGATCTTGGGCCTGACTCCGCCTCCTGTCCGGACGTCTGGATTTCTAAGTCGAACACCTCCTCCTGCTCGGACGCCTGGGTCCTGGCCCAGACGCCTCCTGTCGGTCCAAACTCAGATGATCATCAGTCCCTTCAGGGCCTCGGGTCCTTGCAGGAGTGCTCACCCCACGCCGGACTACCCAGCTGACAGCTCTTATCACCCAGAACCTGGATCCCCTCCTGTTGGCCCAGACTCAGGGTTCCTGGTCTCAACCTCCGACCCCAATCAACCGCTGGGAGCCTGACCGCTTGCCCAGCGCCCCAGCATCCTGCGTGCCCTCTCGGATGCCTGGTACCCAAGGCGGGGCCCGCTACTCACCTCTCGGGACGGGGCGCGGCCGGGCCGCGGGGAGGCTGCGCTCGGGTCCGGGCTGCGCAGGGTGTGTGAGGACCCCGAGAAGCCCCCGCGGCCGCGGGAGAAGCGGCGTGAGTCACCCCGCCCCGCCCCGCCCCCGACCACCGCTTTGGTGACGTCAGTGGCCCGGCTGGCCAATGGGTGCGTCGCGCTGGGGCGCAGCGCGCGCCGCTTGGCATAGTAATGAGGCCTCGTGCCGCCCGCTCCCCCATTCATAAAAAGCGACCGTGGCTGCGGCTCCGCCCCCTTCTGAGTCGGCCCGCGCTGTCCTTGACGCTGCGCCCTCTACGGGCCGGGGGTTTCGGGGTCGCTGGTGCGAGAGCCCATGAAGTCTTGGGGGGGGGGCATGTGTTAGAGGGAGAGGAGGAAAGGGGCCCCGGAGAGTTTGTGGAGGTGATGGGACCCTCGGGTGCAGAGACAGACTGACGGAATTCAGGTGACGGAGAGAGAGTGATGGGGGCTGAATGGGCGTCCCCGGTGAGGATGCAGGGGTTACCAAGACGATGGGGCCCTGAGGTGATGGTGACAGGAGCACGAGGGAGCAGGGAGGTGGGTGGAAGTGACGGTATGAACGTGGTGACAGGATCTTGGGGGGATGGTGGCAGCGAGACGCTGAGGTAGAGAAGGAAGCCCCCAGGGCAACCATAGCAGTGTCAGGGTGACTCTGGGCCATGATGGGGTTCAGGGATGAGGTGGTGGCGAAGGAAAGGGAAGGTGGAGGGGCTGGGGGATAGTTCTTCAGGTCACCGTGACCCTGTCACAAGTGCTGAAGTGACCAGGCTGTGATGAGGGTCATAGGGTCCTGAATGAAGATACCTGGTTACTGCGGGCCCCCAGGTGAGAGGAACAAGGTGGAGGGTCTGGACTGACAGTGACCGGTCCGGCCCTTGTGATGCCCGGTCTGGCAGAAGGAGCCGGGCGACGTCAATCATGTCAGCCCAATAGCGCCCTCACGGCACAGGGAGGGGTGGGCATGGCAAGATTTCAAAACTTGAATTATTTATTCTAGGATCTGGAAAGTCAGCGGGGAGGGGTGGGGGGGGCACTTCCCCGAAGCAGCAGGAGTCGGGGAGCCGGGAAGAACTTGGAAGCAGAAAGCCATCAGCTCAGTCCCCAGGGCAGGCCTCCCATCTTAGGCACCCTGGCAGGGCAGGGCACAGGGAAGGAACTCCCCCTTCCCCACCTCTTCCTGGTCCCAGGGAACGTCTCCCAGCTGACTTCTCCAGATGCGACAGATATGGCCAGTTCTGGGCAAGGGGAAATAGCTGCCTCCTCCTCCCTCCAACTCGAGCTCTGATCCTCATTGGAATCAACCAGGCCTGTGGGATGGAGCTGGGGGGCAGGGACCAGGTGAGGGCCCAGATCCCAGGCCCCACCACTTATTCTCCCAGCACAGAACCACTGCAGTGTGGGGCAGGGAGAAGGAGGGGGTGGGCCAGTGGCAGGGTACATGGGGAGGTCAGGGCTGGGGAAGATACTGTACTTCAGGTTGGGCACGGTGAGTTTGGGGTAGTTAGCAGGTGGTGTGGTCAGCAGTTAGTTTGGGTGGATATCTTAGGCTCTTTGGGCCTGTTTCCTCTAGAGACAGAGACTTCCCACTTGGCCCAGTGGCTATGATGCCTCACACCCAATACAGAGGGCTGGGGCTTGATTCCTGGTCAGGGGAACTAGATCCCACATGCTGCAACTAAAGAGTTTGCATGCCGCAACTAAAAAGATCCCATGTGATGCAACTAAGACCCAGCACAGCCAAATAAATAAATAAAAGTTAAGAAAAAAGATAGAGACCTTGTTAGTATCTTCTGCATGGGATTGTTGGGAGGGGCCTGGTCCATTATCAGCACTGGCTGTGCTGGCTGCCCATCTGTCTGGCAAGAGGAGGACACCTGGGAGGCTTGGGTGTGCAGGGAGGGAGCAGAGAGGAGGAGTTTCAGGGAAACCCACCAGTGACAGCACAGACTGTGGGTGAGAAGGTTCCTGCTCCTGGGCTTTGCCTGGCTGTTCCCTCTGCCCAGAAGCCCTTTACCCCATTCAAGAGTCTCTGCGGCCAAGTCAATTTCTTCCGGAGCAGGCTTTCCCAACCTCTACCCTAGACGACCACTCCCACCCCATCATTCCCTGCTTTCCTTGATTTATCATTTTTTAGGGCACTTAGCACTCCTGAAGTTATAAATTTATTGTTTTAAGAGAAAATACAGGCCTTGCAGACGCCGCCACCCCGGAGCCTTCCTTGCTGTCTAGCCGTGGTCAACCCCACCGTCTTCTTCGACATCGCTGTCGATGGCGAGCCCTTGGGCCGCGTCTCTTTTGAGGTAAGGGACCTGGAAACCAAGAAGTGACTGCTCATCCAGTCCGTAAAGCTATGTTAACAGATTGGAGCTGTTTGCAGACAAAGTTCCAAAGACAGCAGAAAACTTTCGTGCTCTGAGCACTGGGGAGAAAGGATTTGGTTATAAAGGTTCCTGCTTTCACAGAATAATTCCGGGATTTATGTGCCAGGGTGGTGACTTCACACGCCATAATGGTACTGGTGGCAAGTCCATCTATGGTGAGAAATTTGATGATGAGAATTTCATCCTGAAGCATACAGGTCCTGGCATCTTGTCCATGGCAAATGCTGGCCCCAACACAAACGGTTCCCAGTTTTTCATCTGCACTGCCAAGACTGAGTGGTTGGATGGCAAGCATGTCGTCTTCGGCAAGGTGAAAGAGGGCATGAATATTGTGGAAGCCATGGAGAGCTTTGGGTCCAGAAATGGCAAGACCAGCAAGAAGATCACCATTGCTGACTGTGGACAAATCTAATAAATTTGACTTGTGTTTTACTTAACCACCAGACCATTCCTTCTGTAGTCCAGGAGAGCACCCCTTCACCCCCATATGCTCGAAATATCCCATAATCTTGGTGCTCTCGCTACAGTTCTTTGGGTTCCATATTTTCCTTATCTCCAAGTTTAGCTGGATTGCAAAGTTAAATTTATGATTATGAAATAAAAACTAAACAATTATCTGTCAAAAAAAAAAAAAGAGAAAATACATGTCAGCCCCACCAGGATATACGTACGCTCCACAAAGGTACAGACTTTGTTCTGGTCTGTGTTGGAGAACAAAGCCTGGCATGGAGGAGGTGTTCAGTAAATACTTGCTGACTGGATGATTGGACAAAAAGCAACATCCGAGAAAGAGAAGGAAAACACAGAGGGAGTAGTAATATGCACAGTGTCGAGGAAAGCGGGGCATCAAAGAGAGTACAAGGACATCACTGCCCCCAGGAACCCAGATGTTCACTTTCTCCCCTGTCAGAGCCAAGTCCCAACAACTGTCCAGTTGGTCTCAGAGAGGAATGAAGGCTGCTGGGAGGTTGGCATGAGAGGGTGTATGAGAGGGAACCCCTTTGTGGTCCAGTGGTTAGGACTCTACAGTTCCACTGCAGGGGGCATAAGTTCAATTCCTAGTCAGGGAACTAAGATCCTGCAAGTCATGTGGCGCGCGCGCACACACACACACACACACACACACACACACACACAAATAGAGAGGGTAGATGTATGAGAGACCATTTTCTCTTCTGAGTGGCAGTGATCTTTTTTTATTTTCCATAGTTTATTAATCCTCTCATGAAAAATCTGCACAATCACCACAGATAAAGTCACTGCAGGATCTTTAATCCTTCCTTCTGCCAGCACCAACATTGGTCTTTGTGACTCCCCGAGCTCCTTCATTCTGTCCTTGAGTTCTTTTTCTTCTCAGGCAGCCCATGTCTTGCAGGGTGGTGTACATTTATTTTTCTTTGCATAACCCAAGGAATCGTAAATCACGTCCAAGTCAGTTGTCACCACCAAAATGGGTTCTGACTCCAAATATAAAGATGACATCTGGTGTGGTCTTATATACTTTGGCTAGTTTCCCCCAAATTTCTGTCTTGGATACAGTTGCCCTTCCAGGGTAAAGAATGTCAATGATCACCTTTCCCCTGAAATAGTTGGTTGGTCAGAATTTCCTGATCCAGATAGTTATGGTGTCAGTTCATGATGGAGGTGATCCTCAGCCAGCCAAAAAAGAAAAGAGTGGAGTGATATTTCTAACAATGAGAAACCCCGGAGACCTAAGAGACGCAAGTGAGACTGTGGAGTTTCTTTTTTGTTTGTTTTAGGTTTCTTTGGCTGTGCCATGCAGCATGTAGGATCTCAGTTCCTCAACCAGGGACTGAACCTGCGCCCCTGTAGTGGAAACACAGAGTCTTAACCACTGGACTGCCAGGAAAGTCTGAGGCTATGGATTTTCATGTGAGCACACTCTCTCATGCTCCAAAACTGCCCCATGTCAAAAGGACAATTGAGGCCATCACTGCCAACCAGGTCTGTTCCCCAAAGATCTTCTATCTAGAGGAAAAGGCAACCCTTCCTCTTCTCTCATCCTCAGGCCTGCTTCCCTGTCTTCCCCCTCCAGCCCTTCCCACTTGCCAGGTGCCAGACCAGAGCCCAATGCGTACAACAATCCTACACCCCCATTTCATAGGTGAAGCCCAGAGAAGCCAGACGACTTGCCCAAATCACATTGCCAATGGCAGAGCTGAGATCTGAAGCCATTCTATTTGGAACCAAATCCAGTGTGCCTTCATTCTAGCCTAGATGTCACCATCTCCCCAGAAGGGGCTTGGAGTGAAGTTTGACTAAGGTGGACAATACTTGTAGTTCCCCAGATGACCACCAGATGGCTGTGAGCACTCACCTCCAGGTAAGACTTCTTTCTTTCCCTCCACCAATCCTGTGGGCCTAGACTCTGGAGGGAAGTGTGTGAGAGACACACAGACATAAGTCCCCTGTCCAAGCTCCAAGAATCTGGCCATCATCAGTGCACACATTCTTAGCACAGACCCATTCATTCAGCCAATATTCACCGACAGTTCCTCTGGGCTTGGGTTTGAGAAAGTACTACAGACAGAGATGATGTGGCCGTATCCCTGCATTTTCAACATTCAGTTACTATTTATTGAGTATTTACTACTTTCCAGGCACAGTTCTGGGCATGGAGAATGTAGCAATGAACAGATACCTCCATCTTCATGGTGTTTCCATTCTGATGGGGAAATGGACAATCTACAATAAACACTTAATATGATGTTAAGTAGGAAACCCTTGAGGGTCTCACAGACCAGTGAGATAGCCAAACATGTACACAGTCACAACATGGTACAGCATGGTTATTTAATAAGCACCTGCTTAGCTTTTATGGGTGCAGGGAGTTAACTGTAGATGAAGATAAATAAGGTTTCTGCCTTCCTGGAGCTTATTTATAGACTAGGAAACAACTGAGTAATTAAGTACATAGCTGATACATGTTCTGAAGGGAAAAGGAGACATTGTGATGTAGAATAACCAGGAGATCTGTTTTTAGTAGGGAGGTCAGGGGCAAGTCAGTTGAAAAGAGAATAGAAGAGTTCCAAAGAGAGAGTACAGCAGGTGCAAATCTTAAAAGATGATGCTGTGAAAGTGCTGCACTTAATATGCCAGCAAATTTGGAAAACTCAGCAGTAGCCACAGGACTGGAAAAGGTCAGTTTTCATTCCAATCCCAAAGAAGAGCAATGCCAAAGAATGTTCAAACTACTGGACAATTGCATTCATCTCACACGCTAACAAAGTAATGCTCAAAATTCTCCAAGCCAGGCTTCAGCAATACATGAACCATGACCTTCCAACAAACTGTGGAAAATTCTTCAAGAGGTGAGAATACCAGACCACCTGACCTGCCTCCTGAGAAACCTATATGCAGATCAAGAAGCAATACTTAGAACCAGACATGGAACAACAGACTGGTTCCAAGTATGTCAAGGCTGTATATTATCACCCTGCTTATTTAACTTATCTGCAGAGCACATCACTTGAAATACCGGGTTGGATGAAGCACAAGCTGGAATCAACACTGGCGGGAGAGATATCAATAACCTCAGATACGCAGATGACACCACCCTTATGGCAGAAAGTGAAGGAGAACTAAAGAGCCTCTTTTTTTTTTTTTTTTTTTTTACCACAAATAAGATCTTTTATTTGTCACCATTAAGAGTCTGCATTTTAAACCGATTCTTGGACTGGTGGTTCATATCCATCAGCTCGTTCAACTTTAGCACCTGTCTCGTCCCCAGCAGCTTTTCCAGAACTACTACCTTCACCATGTAGCTCCATGAGTTTTCCCAATTCAAATTTGGGCTTCTTCAGCATTTTTACTTTTCTAACAAAGACATCATGGAGCGGATAAATAGATTGGCAAGCCTTTTCTATGTCTTTTCCAATGCTATCTGGAATCAATTTATTGACCACCTCTTTTAAGTCGTTTGTCTGCACCTCTCGGGTCATGATCTCCATCATCTTCTTACGGATCTGGCGCACCTGCTGGTGCTGGGCGTAAGAGGTCTTCCGGATCTGATTGTTGCGCTTTTTAGTAAAACCCACACAGAACAGACGAAGCAAGTAACCATCGGTAGTCTTGACATCAACGTGAGCTTCAATCATGGTCTGCCATTTTTTGACCATGGAGCACATTTTGTCACGGGTAAGATCCATACCATGAAAATTAGTCAGGCAGTTTTTGCCCTGAACATCCTCAGTAATTAGCTTGAATTTTCTAAATGCTACTTCATCATTCTGCAAATCAGCAAGACTCACTTCAAAAACACGACCCTTGAGGCCATCAGACGCGATTTTGGTTCCTTGAGTTCTCGTGACCAATGTTTTCCCAATATTCCTTATATTGAACATAGCTGGTGCTTTCACATCATACCAATCTTTTTTAGAAAATGGGTCAACCACTTTCTTCTTGGCTCCCTTTTTGCCTCCTTTCGTAAGGCGCTTGTTCTTGCCGACCGCCATGGTGCAGCTCAGAGAGCCAAAAGGACTAAAGAGCCTCTTGATGAAAGTAAAAGGGTGAAAAAAGTTGGCTTAAAGCTCAACATTCAAAAAACTAAGATCATGGCATTCAGTCCCATCACTCATGGCAAATAGGTGGGGAAACAATGGAAATAGTGATAGACTTTATTTTCTTGGACTCAAAAATCACTGCCGATGGTGACTGCAGCCATGAAATTAAAAGACGCTTGCTCCTTGGAAGAAAAGCTATGGCCAACCTAGGCAGCATATTAAAAAGCAGAGACATTACTTTGCCAACAAAGGTCCATCTAGTCAAAGCTAGGGCTTTTTCCAGTAGTCATGTATGGATGTGAGAGTTGGACTATAAAAAAAAGCTGAGCGCTGAACAATTGACACTTTTGAACTGTGGTGTTGGAGAAGACTCTTGAGAGTTCTTTGGACTGCAAGGAGATCCAACCAGTCCATCCTAAAGGGAATCAGTCCTGAATATTCATTGGAAGGACTGATGCTGAAGCTGAAACTCCAATACTTTGGCTACATTATGCGAAGAACTGACTCATTGGAAAAGACCCTGATGCTGGGAAAGATTGAAGGTGGGAGGAGAAGGGGATGACAAAGGATGAGATGGTTGGATGGTGTCGCTGACTTGATAGACATGAGTTTGAGCAAGCTCTGGGAGTTGGTGATGGACAGGGAAGTCTGGCATTCTGCAGTTCATGGGGTCGCAAAGAGTTGGACATGACTGAGTGACTGAACTGAACTGAAAGTCTTAGGAGGAAAGAGTTGATTGTTTGAGGGATAGAGAGGAAGCTAGTGTATCTGGACCAAAGGAGCCAAGGGGAGAGGTAGGAGTTGAGCTCAGAGAGGTGGGCAGGGGGAAGATCATGTAAGTCTTGGAAAGCGGTGAGATGGAAGTCATCGGTGAGCTTAAACATGGAATAATATGATTTGATTTACATTTTCAAAGGATTGCTCTGGCTGCTGAGTGGAGAACAGACTATGGCAAAAGCAGAAGCCCTACCAGGAGGCCACTGCAGCCATCAAAGCAAGAGATGGTGAGGCTCTAGGTGCAGGAAGGCAGATGGGTTTGGATCTACCAGCTGGGACAAGTGCCACGGCAGTTCAGCCTTGCTCCGTGATAGTCACCGAGGGCTTCCTGCAGGTGGTAGCCATTTAGTGTTGTCACGAAGGATCAGTTTGCCAGACACATGTAGTCAGGAGAGGAGGAGGACCCTCCAAAAGAGAGAACCACTACCAGATGAAGGCAAGGAGGTACAAAAGAAGATGCATACTGGGGGGAAGGCCATTCTGTTTTCTCAGAGGGTAAGATGTTGGGGTGAGCACAAGACTTCTGAGGCTTCTGGAGACAGGAATCAAAGGGCTATGAAAGCCAAGTTGAGTTGAAATTTGTCTCATGGTCAAATCCACATTTTCAGGACAGCTCTGCACTATGAGAGGTGAGCTGGGGAGAGGTCTGCAGACTGAGAGAAAGTATGAGATCAGCAAAAGAAAGCTGAGGGAACAGGACCCAAGAGCAGGATCTACAGGACTTTAGTCTGGGGGCAAGACAGAGGGAGGGGGTGAGGATGAGACCAGGGTTTCCAATCAGGTGCCTGGTAGGATGGAAGGAGCCTCCCTGAGGGGAAAAGAGGGACTGGGCAGTTTCCAGGGCCTGAGGCACAAACTCAGTGGAGGTGCCCTGGAAGCAGATGAACCCTCAGGAGGCACAGTGGACGGCAGAGTAGCCTCTGGCCTCACTAGATCCCAGTCCACATCCTGACCTCCTTCATTGTAACTGTGTGCCCCTGAGAAAATGATTTTACCAGAGGCCTGCAAATCGGAGATAACAAAACTCATGTTTAGAGGGTAGTTGTGGACATCAGAAAAGACCTGATAAGTTAAGCTGCTTAGTAGAATGTACGTTCTGCTAGTAGTGAGTCGTTAATAGTTGCTTTGTTGCTATTCAGTCCCTAAGTCATGTCCGACTCTTTGAGACCCCACAGACTGTAGCCTGCCAGGCTCCTCTGTCCATGGGATAATCCTGGCAGGAATACTGGAGTGGGTTGCCATTTCCCTCTCCAGGGGATCTTCCTGACCCAGGGATCGAACCCGCATCTCCTGAGTTGCAGGCAGATTCTTTACCACTGAACCACCTAAAGATATATTATTACAGGTGTGGCAGCTGGGGAGCGAGCACTGGGTTGGAGATAGAGATGTGGTACTTGTTCACTGAGATGACCCAGGAGAGGAGAGGAATAGGGCTCAGGACTGAACTGGGCCACCAGCGATGAAGAGGGAGAAAGAGGAAAAGGAGAAGTAGAGAAGGGGGAGGGGAGGGGAGGGGAGAGATGGGGAGGGGAAAGGGAGAGTGGAGGATGGGGCGGAGTGGAAGAGGAGCTGTCTTCTAAGGGACCTGAGAAGTGGCTTTGGAGGGAGAAAAGCCCGAAGAGGCAGAGAGGAAGGTTGCGGAAAGACCACTGATCCCAGTACCAATGAGATGGCTGGTTTGGCCAAAGTATGTGGTGGGTCAGAGATAGACGCAGTGTATTGAGGGGCAGAAGAGAATAGGGTGCAACAGGTGAAGCGATACAGGCTGCCAGAGTCTGGGGGCCTATTCTTGCCTCCTGGTTGGAGGATGAACTCTACAGAAGCTCAGAAATCAGGAAAGTGACCTCCCTTCAAATCTAGATTTTGCCACTAACTCTGTGACCTCTGACTCAGTTCAGTTCAGTCATTCAGTTGTGTCTGGCTCTTTGTGACCCCATGGACTGCAGCACACCAGGCTCCCTGTCCATCACCAACCCCTGGAGCTTACTCAAACGCATGTCCATCAAGTCGGTGATGCCATCCAGCCATCTAATCCTCTGTCAGCCCCTTCTCCTCCCACTCTCAATCTTTCCCAGCATCAGGGTCTTTTCCAAAGAGTCAGTTCTTCCCATCATGTGGCCGAAGTGTTGGAGTTTCAGCTTCAGCAACAGTCCTCCCAATGACTATTCAGGATTGATTTCCTTTAGGATGGACTGGTTGGATCTCCTTGCAGTCCAAAGGACTCTCAAGAGTCTTCAACACCATAGTTCAAAAGCATCAATTCTTTGGTGCTCAGCTTTCTTTATAGTCCAACTATCATGACTACTGGAAAAAGCCCTAGCTTTGACTAGATGGACCTTTGTTGGCAAAGTAATGTCTCTGCTTTTTAATATGCTGTCCAGGTTGGTCATAACTTTTCTTCCAAGGATCAAGCCTCTTAATTTCATGGTTGCAGTCACCATCTGCAGTGATTTTGGAGCCCAAAAAAATAGTCTGCAACTGTTTCCATTGTTTCTCCATCTATTTGCCATGAAGTGATGGGACCAGATGCCATGATCTTAGTTTTCTGAATGTTGAGCTTTAAGCCAACTTTTTCACTCTCCTCTTTCACTTTCATCAAGAGGCTCTTTAGTTCTTCACTTTCTGCCATAAGGGTGGTGTCATCTGCATATCTGAGGTTATGGATATTTCTCCCATCAATCTGGATTCCAGCTTGTGCTTCATCCAGTCCAGCATTTCTCATGATGTGCTCTGCATATAAGTTAAATAAGCAGGGTGACAATATTCAGCCTTGACATACTCCTTTCTCGATTTGGAACCAGTCTGTTGTTCCATGTCCGGTTCTAACTGTTGCTTCTTGACCTGCATACAGATTTCTCAAGAGGCAGGTCAGGTGGTCTGACATCCCCATCTCTTGAAACTTTCCACAGTTTGTTGTGATCCACACAAAGGGTTTGGCATAGTCAATAAAGCAGAAGTAGATGCTTTTCTGGAACTCTCTTGCTTTTTCGATGATCCAATGGATGTTGGCAATTTGATCTCTGGTTCCTCTGCCTTTTCTAAATCCAGCTTGAACATCTGAAAGTTCACAGTTCACGTACTGCTGAAGCCTGGCTTGGAGAATTTTGACCTCTGACTAATCACACACCTTTTCTGAGCCTCAGTTTCCTCACCTGTGAAGTAGGGATAATAACGCAACAGTGTTCATGATCCTGCGAGGGAAGGGGACATCCAGGGACCTGGCCTGCTACTGTGAACAGTTCTGGACTCCGCCCTTTTTGCCAGAGCCCCACCCCAGACCCCCAAATCCCGCACCACCAGACCGCGCCCACAAACCACGCCCCATCGCACACCGTCCCAGACAACAAAGCCCCGCCCTCCCGGTCACGTCACTAGCCCCGCCCTGTTTTGGCCACGCCCACCTGGCCTCGCCCAGGTTGCCCTGGTCTGGCTCCCCACACCCGGGCGAAGCTGAGTCCAGAGGGGCCACGCCACACCCGCTCTCCGCCGACCCCGACCCCCCCCACCCCAGGCCCCGCCTCCGAGCCCATGGCCGCGCCGGGACCCCGCGCCTTACGGGCTGCGCTGTGTGGCGGCTGCTGCTGCCTCCTCCTGTGTGCCCAGCTTGCTGTGGCTGGTAACGCATTTCCTTCACCCAACTGCTTGCCAGGAGCAGTCTGGGCTTAGGGGGAGGGGGAGGGGACTTTTCACTTGTGTGCGGGGCTCCTGGGCTGGATAGACTGGGGCTCCGACTGTCAGTGGAGCCATATATATAGGCTCCGGGTGTGAGGCAACTTCAGGTGTAGGGAAGTGAAGCGGCCCCAGGTGAATGGGATGGGGGTGGCTCCTGATATATGCAAAGGGAGGGTGTTCTGGTGAATGTCAGGGAGCTTCTAGGTGTGTGTGCCCATGTGTTTGTGGAAACTCCAGGCGTGCGTTGGGGCTTAGGGGATCCAGGTGAGTGTGTGTGTGCAGGGGGGTGAGATCCGTGGTAGTGGGGAAGGGGAACGGTAGCTTGGGTTCCAAGTGTTGCATCCATCTCACGCCCAGGTAAAGGTGCTCGAGGCTTTGGGCGGGGAGCCCTGCTCCGCCTGAACATCTGGTCAGCTGTCCGAGGGTCCTGCAAACAGCTGAAGCCCTGTGAGCGTTGTGTGGAGGGGAACCGAGCGCACAACCTCTCCGGCTGTGTGTGGGAGCAGTGTCGGCCGGAGGAGCCAGGTATGGAGTTAGGCCCTCCCCAAGGTTAGTGCCCCCAGTTCTGAACACCAGAGCCTTGGCCCCGCTCCCTAAACTGCTTCCCTGCTCCTTCTCCCACCAGGACACTGCGTGGCCCAAGGGGAGGTGGTCAAGGAAGGTTGCTCCGTCTACAACCGCTCAGAGTCCTGTCCAGGTAAGGGGGCTCCCACTGGCTTAAGTCAAGTTGGGGGGAAGCCAGAGCCTGCCTCCAGTAGGGAATCAGCCTCTCCCAGAGAGGAGACTGTGCCCACGAGCACCTGGGTCCAGTGTCAGTTCTGCCTTTAGCTCACTGAGAAGTCTCTTCCCCTCTCTGGCCCGCTTCCTCCTCTGAAAATTGGTGCAGCTAGAGGATCTAGGACAAGCGTGTAGAGGGAATGGAGAAACTAGCTCTTCTATTTTAAACCACAGTTAGGACTTTGGAAGTTCAGAAGGGAATGGGGGGAGGGCTTCTTGGAGGAGGCAGCATCACAGATGATGATTAAAGGTAGAGATGGAAGAGAGAGGGCTCCGCTGGTGGAAGGAACTGTATGAACTAAGGCTTTGGAGTGTGCCAGGTGGACCCGAGATGGGGTCTTGATGGGAAGTGGCAGGGGTCTGGTTTAATCATGGATTCCCTGTCTCTTCAGCTGTGCACCACCACCCAACTCATGAACCGAAGATAGTCACAACAGGTAGGTCCTATCTGGGGCATTGGAAGGACAAGAGATGCAGGGGAAAACAGCTGGGCTCAGGCACTGACATGCTCTGTGACCTCAATCCTGTGACTTCTCCCTCTGAGCCTGTTTCCAACATCTGTAAAATGGGTTGAAGAATACCTTACAAAGTGAGGATTTTATGAGAGGGTGTATAGCACCTGGTTCCAATGTATAGAAGGTGATCAAGAAATGATGGTTCCCATCCCTTCTCTCTGACCCCGGTTCTGAGAACTCAGGATGGCCCCCTCAGGACCTGCTTGGTGCTGAGGGTGTGTGTCAGGTTGCCAAGGAGATGTCCTCAGTGACTGCCTACTGCAACCTCCAGGCCCAGAGAGGGTCACAAAGCAGGGTCCCAGCCGAAAAGAGGCAAGAACCCCACCCTTTGGTTCCCACTGCCCCTCAGGGTCTGGAGGTCAGCAGGCTTGGCAAGGATGGCTGAAGAGGCTCTTGGTTAATTAAAGCCAGAAACATGATCTCAGGGGCTGAATTATTGATGGCTCCTCCTCCAGCTTGAGCCCAGCTGGGTCTTGTGCAGCTCATTTCTTCCTCCTCCTGCTCCTCTTTCCCCAGTCCCCTTCTCTGGGGCTCCATGAGCTGCTGCTGGGACCACCCTTCACATTCTCAGATTCCCCTTCTACAAGCTACACCCTCTGGGAGGTGGATCCAGCATCCACCTGGGCCCCTCTCACTGCCCTAGAACGCTCTTCTACCACCAGCCCTGCCCTGCTCTGGGCACCTGGCCCAGGGCCTGAAATCAAATCCCTGGTGGGAGTGGATGGCTAACATGGCACAGCTGGGAGCCACCTAGACATCCTGGCAACCGTGGGCCCTGAGGCGGGGGTGGGGGAAAGGGTCAGGGGATGCCGTGTAAGTCTGGCTCTGCCTTAACGGAGAGGTGACTGTCAGGCCTGGCACTCAGAGCCTGGTTAGTCCCTCCGACACATGTCACCGAGTCTTCATTTATCCCCTTGGTCGGGTGTGGGCCGCCACATCTTCCTCTCCTCCTTACCTCTCTCTGGACCCCGGGTGACTCCAGGGTCTCGGGACTTGGGAGTCCTGAAAGGAGACCACAGCATCTGCACCTGGGTTTCAAACCTCAAGACCCAAGGTGGAGAGGGACTCTGAGCTGAAAGGGGTGTGGACGCCCAAGTTCTGGATCCATTGTCACCCTGTGGGGCCCTGGTGGAAGAGGGAGGCAGGCAGGGAGCTCACTTACCATCTGGGGCCTGCAGTCAGGAAGCTCAGAGAGGGTGTTGAGAGGCATCGAGCCACAGAGCAACTTGGGAGCGGAGCCAGGGCCAGGTGCTTCCAGGCACTTTCCAGCCACCTGTAAAATCTGGGTGGAATGTCTGAGCCTGCTGCCCAAGGCTCCCCTAGTGAGGACTGGGGGCCTCCAGATGACCTGTGCCGGGTTTTGGGGTGGGGCCGGGCCCCTGGCCTACAGTGGCCTGCTGTGGCCTCCACCCTGCAGAGAGCCCCTCGGTCCCTGAGGCCCACAGCCCCAGCTTTGACGGGGCCAGCTTCATCGGTGGCGTGGTGATGGTGCTGAGTCTGCAGGCGGTGGCCTTCTTCGTCTTGCGCTTCCTCAAGGCCAAGGAGAGCACCTACCAGACGCTGTGAGTACCTGGCCCGCTGAGCCCCTGCACCTGCTTCCCCGCAGTCCCCCTGGTGGCCCTCGGTGCCCGTTTGCCCACTCCTCCATGGGGCAGCCTCAGGGGCCCTGAGGCCCTCCCAGCCTCCTCCATGTAGGCTGCACCTCGTCTCCCCACATCCAGTTGTGGGGTTCTCTTGGTTGGGTGTTGGCACGCGTGGGACTCGGCCTGGGCCCAGCGTCTGAGAGCCCAGCTGAGGCCCCCTGTCTCTGTCCCCCATGCTGCCAGCAGGGAGGAGAACCAGTAGGTGACTGCCCAGGCCACCTCCGGCCTGCAGCTCTGTGGCCGGGGGCAGGAGCCCGGGCCACGTGTGCGGTTTGGTTTTCCTCTGAGAAGGGGAGCTGCTCTGGCCCCCATGTGTGCTGTGGGGTGGATCGCTGCAACCTCCATTAAAGTGTTTGCTCTTCTGCCCACTGCCTGCTCTCTGCGGGGCGCGGGGCGCGGGGGGCGGGGAGGGGGGTCCTCAGCCCGGCTGAGGTGGGGCCACCACCCTGAGTGCCTTGTCTGTCTGGCCTCTGCAGAATCTGACCCCCTTCAGGCCTGGATTCCACGCTCAGGGGAAAGAGGATGAAGAGGCGGCCCCCTTGAGGGCACTTGGGGTGGGAAAAGCTTTGGTCACCAAATTGTGGCCCCTCTGGACACTGAGCTGGCTCAGGGCCCCATAGCTGACATCCCTTCCTGTCCTGGGCCTGGTTCATGCAGATGAGAGCATCCTTCAACCACCTTCTGTCTCATCCGTCATCCCTACAGGCCCCCGCCTGGTACTCGGTCTGGGCCTGCCTCTTCCCATTGACCTGGCTTGGACACTGCCCCCCAATAAAGGCGCTCTTTCCAGCACTGTGCTTTATGTCTCATGTCTTGGGCTGTGTGTGAATTGGATGGGGTGGGGGGTATGGCCCACTGCCCTGTCCTTCATGGAAATTCAGCCTTAAATTGACACTGTCACCTTTTAAGTATTTTTATTTGCAGGAATTCCCTGGCAGTCCCGTGGTTAAGACTTGGTGCTTTCACTGCCGGGGCCTGGGTTCAATCCCAGGTCGGGAAACTAAGATCCCGCCAGCTGCACAGCAAGACCAAAACAATATTTTTTGCTGTTATGTGTTTAGTCCCCGCCTCCACTGCACTATAGAGAAGGGTGCAGAGACTTGGAAAGGGAAGCACACCTGCTTAAGATCACACAGAATGGAATGGGGCAGGGCTGGGCATTTAATCCAGGTTTTTCTGACTCTAGAATGAGCAGAACTTCAGAACTCCTCTGCAGAGGCATCTCCAGTTTCTTTTGGCTCCTAAAGTTGGATCTCTGCCCTTCTGCCAAGGTGGAGGTACCCCCGGGGACCCTCCCCAGGGTATCTCTGGCCTTCCTTGAGCGGGCCCTCCTAGAAAGCTCCACCCATGCCCACCTCCCTCTCTTCACCGCCCCCCCAACCCTGGGCCCAGAAGTCTTCTCTAATAACATCTCCCACCCATGGGGCACTTGCTGGAAACCGGCTGAGAGTCTGGCATCAGTGTCTGATTTAGTCCCATGATTGTCCTAGAAAGCTGAGAGGCCGTAGAGGGTCACGGGCAAGAGTTTAGCCTGTGGAACTCGACTGCTTTGTGTGACTGGGAGTTAATGGAGCAGCTCTGGGCCTTGGCTTCCTCGTCTGTAAAGTCCAGTAACAGCTGTTCCATCCCAGCGGGATGTAGGGCAGGCTCAGAGCAGGGGCATGTGCCCCGTCTGCTTCACTCCTGGGCACCCACTCACCCCTCCAGCTGTCCAAACGCTTGCATCTCTTCCTCCCCTCGAGGCCTCCTCTCCTTGCAGGATCTCTGGCTGCAGCTGGAAAGGCAGGGCCTCTGGGCTCCACAGGGAGTTCCAGCTACTCCTTGGCCTCACAGAGGGCTCACCTGCCTACCCATCAATGCCAAACACAGTCCACCCCCTCATGCCCCCCCCACTCACTTCTATCAACAACCCCCCTCCTCTCAGACATCAGCCTCCCCTCCAAGTCCCTGCATCTGTGTCATGTGACCCTTTCTCTCCTTCAAGCCTCTGCACACACGCCATTTCTCCTGCCTGGGTCGCCCTCCCCTGGCTGGAATGATGTCCATCCCCGTCCCCGCCCTGGGCCAAGGGAGAAATGCCGCCCCCCTCCTCCTGGTTTTTCACCCAGTTAAGGACATTTCTCTACTGGATGTTTTCATTTTCAAATGTAGTAAATGCCTGTAAAGAACAAAAGGACTACACAGATGTTTATGTATGTAAAGAACGAGAATCACTCTCCCCAGCGTCCTACTCCCCAGAAATAACTATGCTTAACAGGATGGGTCAGACCTTTTCCTGTGAATTTACAACATACATACCTACACACACTTAGTTTTGTTTTTGTTTTTAATACAAAATGGGGGACTTCTCTGGCAGTGCAGTGGTTAAGAATCTGCCTGCCAATGCAGGGCATGCGGGTTCGATCCCTGGTCCAAGAAGATTCTACCATCCTCGGAGCAATTAAGCCCGTGTGCCACAACTACTGAAACCCACATGCCTAGAGCCCGTGCTCAGCAGTAAGAAAAACCACTGCAATGAGAGACCCACGCACGGCAACAAAGAGTAGCCCATGCTCACCGCAACTAAAGATGGCACAAAGCAACGAAGACCCAGCGCAGCCAAAAATAAAATTATTAAAAAAAAAAAAAATGAAGTGGGAGCATGCTTTACATTTTATTCTGCAACTTTGCCCCTTTCGTTAGAGATCAGATTTGCCCCATGACTTATTCAGATGGTGATGGTTGATTTGCCTGCATCCTATCAAATTCCGACTGGGTTATTTCCATTTTATCATAATCAGCATCATGATAAACGGGCTTGTCTTCAGATCTTGGCAGACCTGCGGCAGAGCATGTGTGGTGGGGACATATTCCTAGAACTGGAATTGGAGCATCCATCCTGTCTTGCAAGCTTGTCCTCCACCTTCCTTGACACTCTCATGAACCTGGTCTTCTCCATCCCCATAAGAACTGGGCCTGGTATGGAGAAGGCCCTCAGAGAGGGTTTGATGAGTGAATAAATGAGTGAATGAATGACCAACGTTTTCCTCTCCTCTGTCACCAGAGGTCCCTCTCCAGCTCAGACCTCACCCCTCAATCTGGTCCAAAGCTGCTGCCTCTTCACTGGCCTCCACGCCTGCCCATGTGATGACCTGCCCATGTGATGGCCTATATCAGCAGCTGTTTCCTAGCCTCTGCCAAAGGCTCCTCAGGGGACCTGAGGGTGGGCATGAAGTCACCTTGCTAAGGATGTTTCTACCTGCTTGGGGGCATGGTTAGGGGCTTGGGCAAAATCTCTGGCAGAGAGAACACAAATCATGTTCTGTCTCTGAGCCCGTTTTTCCTTGTTTATTCATTTATTTAACAAACATTAATGGAACACCTGCTATGTACCAGCCTATAACCCAGTTTCAATAATATTAATAACAACCATCAGTGGGACTGTGTAAGGATGGCAGACCATTTACAAATAGCACCCAGCACGACTTGTCGGGGGGTGGGCAGCAGGTGCCCAACAGATGGTATCAGTGGTCATTCCTGATACAGTGACAAGGATCAGGGAAGAATTCCTAGTGGAGATGACATGAGGGCTGGACCTTCATGCACAGGAGGAGCTTCACAGGGAGAGATGAGGAGGGGGTTCCAGATGAGCTAAGGTACAAAGGTAGAAAGACCCCATGTAAATCCAGAAATCTGAAGAGATGGCTGCAGAGTCTTGGTGGCTAGGATCAGAAGTTGGACTCCATCCTGGTTGGACTGGGCAGGAATAATGCCCATTCTCTCCAAAGGTGAAGGAGGAAAAGCCCCCATCTTCTGCTGGTTCCAGCCTGGGTGGGGTGTCCCTGGGGAAAGACGATGGAGGAAGTCTTGCTTCGTGTCTTCCCACCTGCCTTGCATCTTTTCTCAGGGCCCCAGCAAATGGGCCCACTGTGGACCCCATTTTCCCTTTTCCTCCTCTTGTTTGGGGAGCCTGCCTGTCTGAGGAGCCAGGACCACCCCAGCTGCCCAGGTAAGGGGCCCAGGGTACCCTCCCCACTCACCCATTCACCCTCCCATCCTCATCCTCTCCCTAGGTATCCTTCTCCCACCCAGGTTCACTGGCCTCAAGGAGCAGGGTGGGAGTTTGATAATCTGGGCTCTACACACACACACACACACACACACACACACACACACATGAGGTGTGCAAATAGATGCAAATGATGAAAAACCTGACAGCTAGAATCGGGGGGATGGAAAGAGAAATGCAGAGGGGTCTGGAAGAGACATGCCCACTACCCCAATGCCCCATCCTGTGCCCACCTGGCCCCATGTCTCCCTGCAGAACCCAGGAAACTGGAAGCCAGTAAAGTTGTCCTCTTGTTCAGTTGTCCTGGAGCCCCAGGAAGTCCTGGGGAGAAGGGAGCACCAGGTCCTCAAGGTAAGAGATGGGGAGGCAGCAATTAGCATGGTCTGTGCTAAGACACCATGGCAAAGGGGCAAGGAACCTACTGTGTGCCAGGCTCCAGGCTGGATGCCCAGCATCCTAAGATTGACCCTGTGAGGTAGGTAGTACCATCCCCATCTCACTGGGCTGGCGGTGGGGGGGAAGGGAGGCTCAGAGAGGATCAGTCATTCGCCCACACTCACAGAGCCAGGAGCCAGGAAAGGCTGCAGCTCGGATCTGACTTCATTGCTATCTGGCCCCTGACATGTGGCAGGGTGTAAGGCATCTCTCTGTTTCTGGGATGTCAGGGCAACCTGGACCACTGGGCAAGATGGGCCCCAAGGGTGAGCCTGGGGAGTGTGTGGAGCCGGAGGTCTCTTCTTTCTTTGCTCTGTCCCTGGACCAGAGAGGGGGCTGCTTGACTGCTGCTCAGGAATTGGCTGTGATTGATCTCCTGTAGAGGGGGTGGGAAGCTTGTGGCACTAGTGGTTAAGAACCTATCTTCCACTGCAGGAGACAGATGCACGTTCGATCCCTGGATTGGGAAGATTCCCCTGGAGGAGGACGTGGCAACCCCCTCCAGTATTCTTGACTGGAGAATCCCATGGACAGAAGAGCCTGGCAGGCTACAGTCCACAGGGTCGCAAAGAGTCAGACACGACTGAAGTGACTTAGCACTCATGCAGTGGGGGTGGAAAGCTGGGAGGAGTGGGGAGAATCAGGAGAAGGGCCTGGGCACCCTCCCCTCTGGTGGTTCAAGAGCCTTCCCTTGGGGGTACTCAGTGCCAACGCTCATCTTTCCTTGGGGCCGGGGATTTAGCGAACTTGCTGTGGGGCCAGGAGGGTTGAGGCCACCCTCGCTGGACCCCAGGTACCTAGAATCAGATGGCGCTGGGGTGTTGGAGGGTCAGCAGGTGAGGCCTAGCCCATCCCAGAGCCCCTCTTCAGGGGTCCAAAGGAATTAAGAGGACTCCTGGAGTCCAACACATGGCCTGTTCCATTGCCTGTGGGCTGGGGCTTCAGAAATGACTTGGGGGGCCCCCATCAGCTCATCTGCCCTCCCCTAGGCCCCGGGAGCTGCCAGGAGCTGCTGAGCTGGAGTACCACTTTGAGCGACTAGTGCCATCTGTGCCTACCTGAGGGCTGAGCCCTCCCAGTCTTTTGTGACAGTTCAGTTCAGTCACCCAGTCGTGGCTGACTCTTTGCGACCCCATGGACGCAGCACACCTGGCCTCCCTGTCCATCACCAACTCCCCGAGTTTACTCAAACTCATGTCCACTGAATCAGTGTTGCCATCCAACCATCTCATCCTCTTTTGCCCCCTTCTCCTCCCACCTTCAATCTTTCCCAGCATCAGGGTCTTGTCAAATGAGTCAGTTCTTTATATCAGGTGGCCAAAGTATTGGAGTTTCGACTTCAGCAGCAGTCCTTCAAATGAATATTCAGGACTGATTTTCTTTAGGATGGACTGGTTGGATCTCCTGGCAGTCCAAGTGACTCTCAAGAGTCTTCTCCAACACCACAGTTTAAAAGCATCAATTCTTCAGCTCTCAGCTTTCTTTCTTTCTTTCTTTTTATTTTTTTTCCATTTATTTTTATTAGTTGGAGGCTAATTACTTTACATCATTGCAGTAGTTTTTGTCATACATTGAAATGAATTAGCCATGGATTTACATGTATTCCCCATCCCGGTCCCCCCTCCCACCTCCCTCTCCACCCGATCCCTCTGGGTCTTCCCAGTGCACCAGGCCCGAGCACTTGTCTCATGCACCCAACCTGGGCTGGTGATCTGTTTCACCCTAGATAATATACATGTTTCGATGCTTTTCTCTTGAAACATCCCACCCTCGCCTTCTCTCAGAGTCCACAAGTCTGTTCTATACATCTGAGTCTCTTTTTCTGTTTTGCATATAGGGTTATCGTTACCATCTTTCTAAATTCCATATATATGTGTTAGTATACTGTAATGGTCTTTATCTTTCTGGCTTACTTCGCTCTGTATAATGGGCTCCAGTTTCATCCATCTCATTAGAACTGATTCAAATGAATTCTTTTTAATGGCTGAGTAATATTCCATGGTGTATATGTACCACAGCTTCCTCATCCATTCGTCTGCTGATGGGCATCTAGGTTGCTTCCATGTCCTGGCTATTATAAACAGTGCTGCGATGAACATTGGGGTGCACGTTTCTCTTTCAGATCTGGTTTCCTTGGTGTGTATGCCCAGAAGTGGGATTGCTGGGTCATATGGCAGTTCTATTTCCAGCTTTTTAAGAAATCTCCACACTGTTTTCCATAGTGGCTGTACTAATTTACATTCCCACCAACATCAGCTTTCTTTAAAGTCCAACTCTCACATCCATACATGACTACTGGAAAAACCATAGCTTTGACTAGATGGATCTTTGTTGGCAAAGTAATGTCTCTGCTTTTTAATATGCTGTCTAGGTTGGTCATAGCTTTTCTTCCTTGTTGGCAAAGTAATGTCTCTGCTTTTTAATATGCTGTCTAGGTTGGTCATAGCTTTTCTTCCAAGGAGCAAGGGTCTTTTAATTTCGTCTTTTGTGACAAGGACACCGCAGGTGGTGGCTGGCTGGTGAAGCAATGTCAGGGAGAGAAAGGACTCCAAGTCAGAGCCAGTGGGCAGTTCTTCCCCTTGGCCCCTAGGGGGAGCCAGAGCCCACTAGAGCCAGGACATCCCTTCACTGATTTACTAACAAATGCTTACTGAGCTCCCAGAGCGCCTGTAGAAGTCTGAGAAGGCTTCACAGAGGAGATGCCATCTGAAAGGGCCCTGAAGGCTGTGTAGAAGTTCTCAAGCTAGGTGAGGTGCAGAAGGGCATTGCAGGTAGAGGGAAAGACGTGTGGGGAGGCCGGAGACCACGAGGGGGTGGGGGAGAGCGTATGAATGAACTGAGAGCAGGTGGAGTGCTTGGTTGAGGTCTACGGGTGTGGGTCAGGCATGGATGAGGGCCCAGTCTGCAAAGACCCGTTCACAAAGGGCACTGAATGACTGACTCAGTGGGGAGTGGGGAGCCCTGGAAGAGTTTCAAACAGAGGAGGGACCAGGTCAGACATGTTTTAGAAAGAAGACTCAGGCTACACTGTGGAGGATGCATCCGATGGGGACCAGAGTGCAGGTAGGGACACAGTTTAGGACGACTGCAGGGGTCTGGGCAGGAGAAGAGGGTGGGCAGGGGCAGGAACGGAGGTAGAGGCTCTTAGACTGAAAGATATTTAAGCGAGAAACTCTACAGGACCTGGGGACTGCTTGGCTTGAAGAGGAAACGGGCTGAATGGACCTCTGCTCTAATACCTTGGTTCTTATCATAGTAAATGAAAGCAGGGTTATTTTGAATCTGACCCCCAACTGGACTGACCATCTCCTGAAGGCAGGGACAACGTTTCTACTATTTCAGTCCATCCAGGGACTGCGGTGTGAAATTGAGAGTCAGTAAAAGTTAATAAGGGGGTGTACGGTTGATTGATATATTCACAGGCAAGGCTCACTTGGACTCACACTTTATCAACAAGCCCCCAAACCAAAGAGGGGGCACCTGCCCACCTACCCCTCGCAGTGCCTCTGCCCCTTGCATCTCCTCATCCCAGGCTCGGCCTGGAGTGGACTGCCATCGTTACCTTCTCTGCCTCCCTAGGTGTTCCAGGGGTGATGGGATGGTTCTGTGGATTCCTTGGTCCTTCTACACAGCAGGTGTGGGGAGCCAGGAGTCTGAATTCTGGTGGGGGATGAGAATTTGCACGAGCTTACTCTCCAGGGTAGGTTTCTCAGTAGGGTCCTGGGAGTCTGAGGGGCCTTTCCCTGGCATTCTGACTTCCTAGCTGGGATCTGAGGATTTCTCCATCTCTGCCTCCCTGTCCCTTTCCCTAGGTACCCTAGAGCTGTGGGTGGAGCTGGAGAACTTTAGGCAACCACACCTTTGTTCCCTGTAGGTCCTTCCTCCTCCTAGTGGAGGCAGACAGACCATCACCAGCTGGTGCTGGACAGGTTCTCAAAGGGCAGGGCAGGTGAGCGAGCCTATGGTGGGGCCCTGGAGCAGTCCAAGAAGTCTAGGGAGGCTGGATGGAGCTTCCCCAGAGCTGCCATGGTCTCCACGAATGACCCAGGACACCTCCTTCCCCTGATGCGAGTCTGTTTCCTCACTGGAAAAATGGCAGTGATGAGACAGGGTGGTGCAGGAGTGAGCAAGTTGGGCTCTGGAGGCAATTGATCCTGAGTTTAAAATCCAGCTCTATCATTTACTAACTGTGTGACCTTGGGCAAGTCTCTTCTGGGTCAGAGCCTCAGTTTCCTCCCCTGTAGAATGGGTAAGGAGGCAGGGAGGGAGGATGTGAGAGCCAGCTGAGGCTCTGTTGAGTGTTATCATTATCTGCTTTGGAAGAGGAACCAAGAAAGGTTTTTTTTTTTTTCTTTCAGAGAAACACCAACAGTCGAGAAGAAAGTTGAAAGAGGGAAGTGGTTACAAGGAGGTGCCTCAGCGGAGCCCCCTTTCCTGCCTCGGCGTCTGAGAAGCCCCTCCTAGCTCCCCCAGGCACAGTTGCTCAGGCTGCAGCTGGGAGCTGCGAGGAGACAAAGGAGCAAGAGGGAAGCGGAGATTCTGGGAGGGGACGAGGCAAAGGGAGGCGTCAGTGGCTTTAGAGCCACAGTCCTGAGCTCAAGTCCCACTGCCTCTGTGATTAGCTGCCTGGGCCAATGCCCTTGCTCCATGGCACTGCTGTTTTTCCCACAGGGCCTGCAAACACCCACCTTACAGTTGCTCTGAGGCTCCTGCGAGATCATCTCTTCAAGGGTGTCAGGCATGGTGCCCGCACCGAGGTGCCTCCCAACCTCTTCCTGCCAGGGGCCTCCCAGAGCTTCCAAGGCAGGAAACCCTTTCCCACCGACCATGATACAAGTGGGAGAAACTGCATGGTGACTGTTCCCGGGGCCTGCTGGTACGGATCCTGCTATCAGACCAATCTCAACGGGCGCTACTTGATGTTCAAAGCCCCTGCCCATAATTATGGCATTGACTGGGCCTCATGCCAAGGCGTGGGCCATCCTTACCACAGGGATTAAATGGTGCTTCGCTACGGCACCCTGGTAGCCAGCACCCTTATCTCTATCACACAGCTTCCGGACTCTCGGTGGTTGTTCAATTGCTCAGTTGTGTTCGACTCTTCATGACCCCATGGACTGCAGCATGTCAGGCTTCCCTGACTTTCACTGTCTCCCAGAGTTTGCTCAAACTCATGCCCATTGAGTCAATGATGCCATCCAACCACCTCATCCCTGCTCCTCTTACTTTTTATTAAAAAATAAAATCATTTTTACTCTTTCCCGACTGGCAGACCTCTTCCAGTTATTGGGAAAAACTCAAGAGGGCAGAGCAGGGACACAGGTTTCAGTTCCATTCAAGGAAGATCTTCTTTCCAGTCAGGAAGATTGCCAAGTTGACCTCAAAAGGTAGTGAGGCTTCCGTCCCTAGAGGTTTGCAAGTTGAGGCCAGAGAAGCATGGACTAGCAGACTTGGAAGAATTCAAGCATCCACTGACAATATTCTCGGGTTCCCTGGGTCCTACAAGTGGATGGTTTCATGGTGGGAACTGCACCTGGCATCTCACCTTGTTACCCCCTGCCTGTCCCTTCAAAGTTGTCTGTTTTCCAGGCTCTGTTGTAAGTCACATTTTCATCCTCTGCTACTTCCTGCCTGTTCCATTAGGGGTTAGTTCGAACTCAGTCAAAATAAGGCAGGCACATTTTTCTCCCATGGGGCAACAGGGCAGTGAAACAGCAGTTCCTGAGCTGGCATTTAAGCAGTTAGATAATTTGCCAGAGTCACATTCAAGAAAGTGTTAGAACAATAGTTAAGAGTCTGATCTCTGAGTCTGACAGGGAGTCCTGGGCTTGCATTCTGCTTTGTTATGTAGCTGAGTGATCTTGGACAAGTTACTCAACCTCAGAGTTCCCAGTTCCTGATTTCAGAGTCCACTGAAGTTTATGCCAGGCTGTGGCCTCACTAATTCCCACTAGAAGGTTAGGGATTCTTGGGCATTGGAGCTGGGAAGCCATTGTAACCCAAGGGCTGGGGTTCCTGGGGTTCTCCAGGGAGATGGAGAAACGCTTGCATGAAGATTCTTCTCAGGTTTCATGGTCATGTCCTGGGTGGAGGTCAGGGGTCAGAAGGGCTCCAAAGCAGATTGAGTTCCCGGGAAAGCAGCCCCCTGGCAAAAAAGGCAAAGGACCCAGCTCTGATGCCAAGTCCCATGCTACTGACAGGCTGGGGATCAGGCTTCCCCAGTCCAGTCCCTCCCAGCCTGCCCACCAAGGACGCTGAGGGACGGGCTCTCTCCGCCGTGTTTGTTCTACACACCCTGACATCTCTGAAGATCCCTTCTTCCAAAAGATCCCCGCAGGGCAGGGCCTGCAATGCACTTGGGTCTTAGCTCTGGCCTGGGCACCCATCTTACGAGTGCCTGCTCTGAGTAGTCCACGGTGGTTGGCTGCCCAGGGGCAGAGGCTGTTCCGGAAGCGGTCTGTCTCAGAGGTTCTGGCGGGAGAGGAGGGAGGGAAGAGGCCGTGTCCCAGGCCGCTAGGGAGCGGTGCTGCCCCAAGGCCGAGGGTGGAGCTTTCCCGGTCGGCCGGGAAAGGGCTGGGCCCGGCCTACATGTGGGGGCAGGAGACAGCGACGGCCGAACTTCCGCGGCGGATCCTGGGTGGTGGGTACTGCTGGCCCGATGCCTGGGGCCTTCCACGTGACTCTGAACTGCGGATCACTGGATGCCCAAGATACCCAGGACCCAATCCCCGAAGTCAGATCTTCAGGACCTTGCAAGTCAGAGTCCGGATTTTCGCCCTGCACACCAGATTCCCAAACGGGACCTCTGGCCAGACTCCTGACCTCCAGATCCCGCAGGAAATTCTCGATCCCGGAATCTGTTGTTCTCCGCTCCCGTCCCGCCCCGGGTGCCCAAAGCCCGGCGCCCAACACCCGAGCGCCCCCGCATGGCGGGGCCGAGCCCGCGGTCCGGAGCCCTGGAGCGCGCCGGCAGCTGCTGGCAGGACCCGCTGGCCGAGGCGCTGAGCCGGGGCCGGCCGCTCGCGGCGTCCCCGGGTCGGGGCTGTGCGCGAAGCCGGCCTCTCAGCGTGGTCTACGTGCTGACCCGGGAGCCGCTGCCCGAGGTAGAACCCGAGACGGGAGCCGAGGCGGAGCCGCTGCCTCTGCGCTGCCTGCGTGAGGCCTGCGCGCAGCTCCCCGGACCGCGGCCGCGACCTCAGTTGCGCAGCCTGCCTTTTGGAACCCTGGCGCTGGGAGACACAGCAGCGCTCGATTCGTTCTACAACGCGGGTGAGCGCGCCCGGGGGGCGGGGCGCTGGGTGGAGCTTAGAGTCTGGGGGCGGGGCCGAGGCGGGGCTCAGCGACTCCCGGGGGCTCAGCGACCCCGAGGTGCGGAGTCGTGGGGGCACAAAGTGAACTAAAGCAGAGGGGCTCGAGGAGGGATCCGCAATAAAAGCGGAGTTTAGGGGGTCTGGAACTCGGCCAGACTCGGGCAGGGACTTCACGGATCCAGGTCTGGCTCGGGGTTCAGGAACTCTGGAGTTGGCACCGTGCCTAGGGAGTGGGGCTAGAATTAGGGAGTGGCTGGGAGCGGGGCAGGGTGTGGTATCTCAGGAATGGGATTGGAGAGCTCAGCCTCGGGATGATCTCTCACGGAGCTCATGACGGAGGATCCTGGAGGTGGAACTTGGACTGGGGGAAGGGGCCCCTAATACGTGGGGCTAGAGTTCAGGGGTCCTAGTATACTACTTCCGGGGATCCGGCTGCAAAGGGAAGCGAAGGGCACTAACGGCATTGGATTCTAGAGGCGGGAGCTTGGTTCATGAGGCCCCAGGAGTTCTGAGAAAAGTAAAAACTGTGGTGCTGGGGAAGACCGTCCCCTGGACGGCAAGGAGATCAAACAAGTCAATCCTAAAAGAAATCAACCTTATGGCGTGGGGGGGGGGGGGGGGGGGGGGGAGGCGGTCGCTGATGCTAATGCTGAAGCTGAAGCTCCAATACTTTGGCCACCTGATGCGAAGACCCGACTCATTTGGATAACACCCTGATGCTGGGAAAGATTGAAGGCAAAAGGAGAAGGCAGGCAGAGGATGAGATCGCTGGATAGCAACACTGACTCAATGTATATGAATTTGAGCAAACTCCAGGAGATAGAAAAGGACAAGGGGAGCCTGGTCGTTCTGCAGTTCACGGGGTCGCAAAGAGTCGGACCCGACGGAGCGACTGAACAAGTAGCTCCGGGAGAATCGGCAGAGCTGGGGCGGAACTGGAGGCGGAGAAGGGTCGTCCAGGGGCGGGGCCAGAAAGCGGGTATTCCCCAGGGGGATCACCCAGCCCTTTCGCCAGCCCGGATGCCCCGCCCCGATACTAATTTGTTTATCCAGGAGATCAGGAACCCTACTTGCAGGATGTTCATATAACTTCAGCCTAACAATGAAGGCTGGACTTCCCTGGTGGTCCGATGGTTAAGAATCTACCTGCAAGCGTGCTCAGTCGTTCAGTTGGTCCGACTTTTTGGGACCCCATGGACTGTAGCCCGCCAGGCCCCTCTGTCCACGAGATTTCCTAGGCAAGAATACTGGAGCAGGTTGCCATTTCCTACTCCAGGGGATCTTCCTGACCCAGGGATGGAATCCACGTCTCTGGCATCTCCTGCATTGGCAGGTGGATTCTTTACCACAGTGCTGCCACCTGGGAAACAGGGGACATGGGTTCAGTCCTTGGTCCCGGGAAGATTCCACCACCTGTGGCAGGGCAACTAAGCCTGTGTGCCACAACTACTGAGCCCGTGTCAGCCTGCAAGCAGCAACAAAAACCCATCACAGCCAAAAATAAACAAACATAAAAATGAGGGCTGACTCGACCTTGAGATCACAAAGATACACACAGAATCATAGACAAACTCACAAATTGTGCATATCTTGCTTCACAAAGGCTGTCACAGACACTGTCCCACACAGAGATACAGACAGCAAACGATACACTCACAGAGGCACAGTGTTGTACACACACAAGGCAAGTATGTATACACATGTGTATACACCAGCACTGCTGGTGCGGCCCCTTTCAAGAGACTGTGTTGAGGATCCAGGGAATGGCACGTCCCTCTTTGCACAACTCTTGCCCCTCATATGGCCCAGAACAGGCTCCGGGCTGGTGCATAGCCTCCCCTTCTCTGTGCCCAGGGCCCGTAGGCTCTGCACAGTGGGATACAAGCAGTTGGGCCTCGGGAGCTCCACTCCTCTCTTTGCAATACTATAGATATAATTTCTGTACGACCCAGAGGGACCCTAAAAGGGAGAAACTGAGACCCAGAGCAAAACTGGACTCTGAGGAGTTACATGGGAACACAGGCCCAGCCAGGATGGATCCCCAGGCTTCTTCCCCACAAGCTGGGTTCGGGACTTAAGGTTTGGGGCTCGGGGCTCAGAGCTTCGGGCTCGGGGCTTCAGGTTCTGGGCGCCGGGCTTGGGGTTCGGGCTCAGAGCTCAGGGCCTCCACCTGTGTGTCCACAGATGTGGTGGTGCTTGAGGTGAGCAGCTCCCTGGCGCAGCCCTCCCTGTTCTACCACCTGGGTGTGAGGGAGAGCTTCAGCATGACCAACAACGTGCTCCTCTGCTCCCAGGCCGACCTCTCTGACCTGCAGGCCCTGCGGGTAGGTGGCCAAGGGGCTGGTGGGGACCAGCCCAGGGCGGGGGTGGCCCTACCCAGAGTGCCAGTATCTGAATGTCTGTCTCCTGCAGGAGGACATTTTCCAGAAGAACTCGGTGAGCCGAATCCACCCCTCCTCCGCGGTTTCCCTTTGACCTCCATTATAACCTCTGCTCTCCACCATCTTTCCTGGCCTCCTCATTCACCTCTGACCTCTCTAGTGCCCCCCTGACATCCACGTGACCTTTGACCCCCTATTGCCTCCTTTCGTGAAGTGGGCCCCTTCCCCGCTATTCTAATCCCCACGGGGGTGGACCTCTGACCCCTCCACTGCCCCTCTCTAATCTAGCCCTGACCGCTGACCTCCTCTGATTCCTGGCCTCTCTCCCACCCTAGGATTGCATTGGCAGCTACACGCTGATCCCCTACGTGGTGACAGCCACCGGTCGGGTGCTGTGTGGTGATGCAGGCCTCCTGAGGGGCCTGGCTGATGGGCTGCTCCAGGCTGGGGTGGGCACAGAGGCCCTGCTCACACCCCTGGTGGGTCGGCTGGCCCGCCTGCTGGAGGCCACACCCACAGACTCTTGGTAATGGGGGCCCCCCTCAGCGAGGGTGCCAGGAGGAGCTGGTGAGGGCCAGGGGGGCCTGGAGTTGGGCAGGCCTGGCAGGCCCTGCCATTCTCTCTCTCTCTCCTGCCCTGGGTGTTAGTGGCTACTTCCGGGAGACCATTCGGCAGGACATCCGGAGGGCGCGGGAGAGGTTCAGCGGGCAGCAGCTGCGGCAGGAGCTGGCTCGCCTGCAGCGGAGACTGGACAGCGTGGAGCTGCTGAGCCCCGACATCATCATGAACCTGCTGCTCTCCTACCGGGACGTGCAGGTGTGCAGGGCTCGAAGAGGCAGGCTGGCCAGTCCAACAAGCCCCAGGCCAGTTTCCGGACCCACTGGAGGCTCTGAATGAATTACCTGACATCTCCGAGCCTTGGTTTCCTGGGCCGTGTGGGAAGCTGGGCACCCACTGAGGTCTCCCTGTACAGAGTGGTGTCTGTACTTCCCGGGGGAAGTGTGCAGAGGATGGTGGGTGGGAAGGTGGGGTGTTGGGTGGGAGGGGACCCCTGCTCAAGGTTTGCCTCAGGGTCTGTGGGCTGAAGGGACCCCCCGGAGGCCCTGAGGCCAGTGCATGCTGTTCCCTCCTGCAGGACTACTCAGCCATCATCGACCTGGTGGAGACCCTGCAGGCCTTGCCCACCTGTGATGTGGCCGAGCAGCATAATGTCTGCTTCCACTACACCTTTGCCCTCAACCGGTGGGTTGGCAGAACAAGGCTCAGGTCATAGCCACATGGAGACATGGGTCTCTGCTGTGCAAAGTCACTTCAGTCTGCAATCACGGCTGTTCAGGGAATTTGCGGCCCAGGATCACACTGATGTCAAATGGTCACTAGGGTTCTGTTTCTGCTGCCCGGGGTGGGGTGGGGTGGTGGTGCCGACCTTGGAGTAGTCACAGCCGTCTAAGGCCACGGCTCCTCAGAGTCACTGCAGTCACTTCCATCTGGGATTCCCACCTCTCGGAAAGTCAGCGCTGACCAGAGACACCACTCTTCTGGGTTCATGATGGTCAGGCCCTTGGGAAGGTCCCTGCTGTTCAGGGTCTTGGGGTTTCTGGACAGAGAGTGGGTCTCCAGCCTATCTTCCCCTTCCCCCTAGGAGGAACAGGCCTGGGGACCGAGAGAAGGCACTGGCCGTGCTGCTGCCACTGGTACAGGTGGAGGGCCCGGTGGCACCTGACCTGTACTGCATGTGTGGCCGTATCTACAAGGACATGTTCTTCAGCTCTGGCTTCCAGGATGCTGGGCACCGGGAGCAGGCCTATCACTGGTAAGGGGCCCAAACAAGTGGACAGTGGGCTGAGCTAGTGGACTGAGGGATGGGGCTGTGGGCATTAGTCCATTCCCACATCACCCCCACCCTCACCCCAGGTACCGCAAGGCCTTTGACATAGAGCCCAGCCTCCACTCAGGCATCAACGCCGCTGTGCTCCTCATTGCCGATGG